CATCCAGAACTGTGAGAGATGCATGTCTGTGTGTAAGCCACCTAACCTATGGTCATGAGGTATGGCAACCTGAGCAGAATACACAAAGGGAGTATGCTGGCAGGAGAAAGAGACAAGATGACTAAGTGTATATGTGAAAAAGTAAATTTAATGATGGGTCTGAAGTTTAACCCAGATAAGAAGGAAAGCAAACATGGTGGTGGGGGTGATTGATGGATAAGCAAACATGAATAAGATGAATGGATTGGAAGTCCTGGTTCAGATGAAGCTATAACTGGAGTGATAGGATAGTAGGAGAGTAGGATGCTTGACATTGAAATCATGAAAGTGGTGTTGCTATTGGTAATGATAGGGTCTAGGAATATGACTGTAAACAAAAAACTAATGTATTGAAAGCAAAGAGTCAGAGAACTCAGAAATCAGGATATTGAATGGATTGTCTGTGTGGATGTTGAATCACACAGTGAGAGCTCTCTTTGTGGCTTGCAGACAGCCATCTTCCATCTGCCACCCTCATGTGCCTTTCGTCTGAGCACTCACAAAGTGAGCTCTGGTGTCTTATCCACTGTGTGGATGTTAGAATAATTACTGGAGGAGTAATTCAAAAGGCAGGAATTCAAAAGGCAACATATTCAAGGAATGCATTCAGATATAACTGCATACATTTGAGTGATATTTAAAAACAAAATCAACAGGAATTTGTCATGAAATAAAAGGGGATGGAGAAAGGATAGGGAGAAGGTGCCATAAAAGACAACTCACTGGTCTCTGACTTGAGCCACTGGATCAATCATGGTACCATTTCTAAGTTAGAGAAGTCTGGCAGAAGGTCAGAAGTTTGATCTTGGTATAGAGTTTTAAATGACTTCGATGCATCCAAGTGATATTGAGTAGATGGACTAATATATATTGGGCTGGTTCCCAGAGAAGAGTCCATCTTTGGAAATAGAAATCTGTGAAATATATGAGATGAGTGATGGCTGAATTCATAAGACTGGTGGCCTTGCCTAGGAGGTGTGGAAAAGCAGAGGAAAAGACAAAGACTTGGACTTGAGTAATTTCAGTATTTAAAAATGAGAAGACTTAGTATGAGCCTCCAAGGGAGATTGATTAGGAAGGGAAAAGATAGAGGAAAACCAGGAGAGCGTGAAGTTACAGAAGCCAAGAATAGTCTTGTGAAAAGGAAGATGCAGCCAATAGTTTTGAAAGTTTAGGGCCAGAAGGCTGAGATGAAAAAAAAATGACCTTGGAGTTAGTAGCATGACGGCCACTGGTAACTTTTGTAAGAACTTCTTTTGTGGACTAATGAGGTTGGAGGAGAAATTAGAGGTTGATAACTGAAGGAGACATGAGGAAAAGGAGAAAGTAGGACAGATCACCTTTTGAAGAATGTTGACTATTAAATGGAGAAGAAGAAAAGCGTGGGAGCCGGAGGGATTGATAGGATTAAGGACAAAGATTTTATATATACATATAAATTATAAAAAATATATATTTGTATATAATTATAAAAATATATAATTATTAAAATTATATAGATATATATAAAATCTTCACATACACATACATACATACATATAAACAAATACACACATATATACACATACACACATAAATATACACACATATCATATATTATATAGTTTATATTTATATAATGTATATAATATTATATTTATATAATATACATTTTTAATAGCAGAAGCTTGAACCTATTTGAATCTCAATACAATGTCTATAATTTGGAGGGGAATTATACAAATGTAACATGTTAGTGCGAAAAGTTTTATAAGGGATGGTAGAAAAGCAGGAAGGTTGGGGTTCAAATTGCAGGCAGTGAGACAGATTTTAGAAGGACTAACACCTTCTCTAGTGTAACAGAGAATAAAGGAACCCGGACTGCATTAGGACTCAGAGTCAGGCATCTTACTGTGTTCTATCTTCTCTTTTTCTGAGTGATACAGTTCTTTTTTACAAGAAAGTATTGTGGGGATAGGTGCAGTGAACTTTGAGTTCTCAAAGCAGCAGTGAAGAAACAAGGACACCAACTCTGCCTGCTGCTGCAGGCAGGTTTGTGAGGTGTGAGAGAGGAAAAAGCTACCACTTGAGCAGATTATGGGAGAAGCAACCTTTTGAGGTTTCAGCTAAGGAAAGGGGGACACTCAGAAAATATATGGAAAATGTAGAGGAGTTTGATATTCCTGAGAGCACAATGGAAGGTTTGGGTGGATCATGATGACTGAGAAAAAGTTTGTTGATTTTGGCGAGCAGAAGATCATTTTCAACCTAAGATTAAGCAGTTTCAGAAAGAGTTTAGCAGAACGATGGAGGTTCCCGCAAAGGATTATAAAGTGAAAAGCAGATACTTCGTTCAAGGAATTTAGCTGTAAATGAAAGAAGTGAAAGGAGGAAGACAGAATTCACGTCTGGGTTTTTTGTTTTGTTTTGTTTTGTTTTTTATAATCCAGCTAATTACCTATGAGATTTCATTTCCATTTTGTTTCTTAACATAAACTCTAGGGTCAGACTGACTTTCTTCCGTAATACTAAAATCGTTTCTTCTTTGTTTTCATGCTTTAACCCCTGCCTAGGATGCCTTAAATTTTTTTTTCTTCCTTTGTAAACACAACTTTTCTGGTAAGACCCATTAGCCTGGTAAGACTCAATATTCCCTGTTATATATATTTTTTCACTATTAGATAATTCATTTTTTGTTGTAAAACTGTTTGAAAACTACATGAAATTTAGCCGAGTGCAGCAGTGCACACCTGTAATCCCAGCACTTTGGGAGTACAAGGTGCGTGGAATGCTTGAGCCCAGGAGTTTGAGACAAGCCTGGGCAGCATAGCGAGACCTCGTCTCAAAAAAAACTATATATATATATATGAAATTATAAATTAAAAATAAAATAACCCATATTAAACCTTCCTTTGTATGTATTATACTATGTATATTATTAATACTAACACTTCAAAAATTAACATTATAAAGTATTTTCGGTTCCACTAAGTATTTATAACAAAATGTTAATGACTGTCTAACAGACCATGGTATAAATGTACCATAAGTCATTAACCAATCGCCTAACGTTAGCTTACTAAAGTAATTTGGTTTTCCCTATTATAAATAAGACACTATCTTTTACATAATTGCTTGTGTACATAGTTAATGGCACCCTTAAGGCAGAACTTTTTTAACTAGATGGACTAAATCAGAAGATACGTATTTTTTTTAAGGCTCTGGATATATAGAGGTGAATTATTTTCTAGAAAGGCTCTAATGAATTACCCTTCTACAAGCAGCATATGAGCATTTAGCATACCCACTCCATTGTCAGCATAGAACATTTTCTAAAAATTTAATTTCCAGGGTGAAAAAATGGCTTCTCTCTGGAATTCTAAGCTATGTTTATTTAATTACTAATTAAGTTGAATCTTTAAATAGCTACTGGTTACTGGGTGTTTTCTTCTGTATGTTGTTATGTCATACCTTTAACCCATTAAACATATTTTTAATTGAATCACAAAATTTTAGTGTGGTTGATCTAATCAAAATAGTTCTTTACATGCTAATTATATTGCCTTGTATTATATAATTGTTATTTTCATCCTAACTATTGGTTTCCCAGTGAACTATGTGCATCTGTCATAATCTTTACCAAATTCTCCATTCTCAGAAGTCCTGTAGCACTCTATAGTGTCAATCTACCATCTTAATATTTCAGTCTCTATTATCTTGTTTTTCATTGATAGTTTCTTTCATATTAATATATTACCATCAGAGAGATAGTAAGTGTCTTAAGAATAAGAACAGGGAATATGTTTATCACCATTACTAGATTTCTAATTGATATTGTGTTAGATGATTCTAATTTGCTTCTGAGTTTATTATTATATATATTCAACAAAATATATAGCAAATTAACTCATTGTGTGTTAATGACCGTAACATTCTGGAAAAATGTGTGTGCGTTTAAAGACCTAGAGAATAGATTGGTTTTCTCAATATTTTTATATTTGCAGTGAAAGGTTTGAAAATAAAAGTCCTTGGGGTATGTTGAAATTATTTCAAAAGTTTTAGGATTGTGTATAAAACAGCATTCATGTGCTCTTTTGAGCATGTTACTTGAACCATAGTTAAGTGAAAGGTGGTGTGAACCATGTGATAAATGATTACTTCACGTCAAACAACCCAACTTTTCTGAGCATGCTGGTTTTGCAAGGATTTATAGTTCCCTGCCTTCATGCCGGAGTTACTTCAGCTTTCCGTGATGCATTCCAACTAATCTGGAGGTTAAGGCATTTCTTGATCATGGATAGATCTGCTTGCTTCTCAGCCCTGGAATTCTTTATAAAATTCCAGAACGCGGGCTAGAAATTGACTTAGGGAATCCAATAAAGTTGCAAGTCTTGGCGGTCATCCAAGCTAAATTTATAGACTGGAAGAAATGTGGGCTTTCCATTGTTCTCTTTTTCACCTTTCTGGGATTTCTTTTGTGTTTATGTGAGTGTGTGAGTGTAAATTTATCATTTTACTGACATTGCAGTGTAAATAACCATCGAGGAGATTCAGTTAAAGAATTTTCACTTTGGATCTTCTCTGGTCTTTCCAAACTTTGACCCAAACCTGCACCAAGAGTGAATTTCTTCTCCCTCTGTAGGATGTTGATGTCATAAAATAAGAAGTTGTTCTTGAAAATGAATCATGCTAGTTTAACAGCTGACGTGCATGTTTGCCAGCTAGGTGCAACTCCCTGAATCCTGTCCTTCCCCTGACTCGGAGCATTCTTTTTGGACATGATCTGAGAAAATGTGATCATATGTGTTGTTTCTCTTCATTCTGTGACTGGCAATGGGGGAACAAAAACAATCTCGGAAGCGTATGAGACTTTAGTTTTGTGTGTGTGTGCCTGAGGCACTGTCGTGCCTGGAGATCCAAGCAATCCCTCTCCTCCCCTCTCCATTATATCTGACCATTGAAAACCTGTCTTGTTTTTACAGAATGGGTTTGCTGTTGTGAGGCCCCCTGGCCATCACGCTGAAGAATCCACAGCCATGTAAGTACCAGGGACTGTTGCCCATCTCCAAGCACCACGGTTCCTGGCGGTCACCTGCCCCGTGCATGTTTCTGAAGCCTTTAATTGTTAGCAGATGGACTGAAAAATCTTGCGAGGTACTCCCAGAAGCAGATTTATGGCTTCAGAGATCATATAGCATTTAAAAAAAATGCTCTGAACATTATTTATAATGGTTTTCCTGGATGATTTGCTTTCTTATTTCTCTGTTCTTCTCTATTCCGCAGGGGGTTCTGCTTTTTTAATTCAGTTGCAATTACCGCCAAATACTTGAGAGACCAACTAAATATAAGCAAGATATTGATTGTAGATCTGGTATGTATGCCTGGCCAGAGCTGCATTTTCAGTGATTCTAGATAAAAGGGAGTGGATTTGTATTTCTCTGTTAGGGTTGTCTTGCTTTTAGCACTTGCAAACAACTGAAGGGTGTGTTTCCTTTGAATGTGGAAACTCATTAAACTCAGGATTGCAGTTCTGAAACCATAAACATTCACGTTTCACTTTCATGGTGTTAACTGCAATTTAATGAGAAGAAGGCGCAGATCAGGGCAACTTTTATGATCCTTAAATGAATTGATACTTCCACAGTTAAAATAACCCAACAGAACCTGAATTTACTTTTCCCTACAGAATATAGACTCAATAGTCAGATGTGCTGGAAAGAATGCTGTTGCTTTGGTAACCAATTGGCCACTTCCCCTGGTTAGCAATCATGTTACTTGTTGTGCAACAGTGGTATTATTAAAACAAGTCCGCATGTCACTGTTACTGAAAAGATCTCCAATCTCAGATGCCAGTTTGGGATGATTCTCCAAAGGAACCCTGAGTGATTAAAAGTCAGAGGCATTAGATTAGTCTTGCATTTTAACATGATGCATTCTTACACATTAACGTTATAATTTGTTTAACAAATGGTTTGTTTAAAAGCAGATGACACTTGGCATATTGTCCACAGTATATTCATGAATAATGAGCTGGAGATCTGCCCCGTACAAAAAGGACCAACCCAGGAAAGGGCGAAAGAGAAGTGAATGGTGATTTATGAGCCCCGTTTTCGGTTTGCCTCCAGTTCACGAGGAGGTGTAATAGGTTGTCTGACAAAGCATAGACAGGAAATGAACCCTGGCATCCAAACCGAACCTGGGACATCTGAACTTAATTAATTTTTGCAGGTGATAAAAGATTTAAAGGCAAAATATGCTAAAGGTTTTTTTTGAAGTGCAAGCCTTAATAGTCTAAATCTTGTTCATATCTGCACTCATAATTAAATCTTATTGGAAGTCACGGCCTCGCCCTCCAGCCTTCGAATTCAGTTAAGCAGACACACCAAAGGGTTGAGAGAGCACAAACAAAGCCATGTGAAGAAATGCTTAGTTAAGTTAAAACGAAGATAAAAGAAATGGAAAAACGACACCCATTTGTTGTGCTTCGTTGGAATATGGGTGTTTTTCACACACTGTATTGAAGCATTCCTGCAAGCACTTCGGAGAGAAGAATATTGAAATCTGACTATCCATGTATTTTCCAAACATGCCTAAGTCTCAATGTCGGTCATAGTTCACCATTAAAGAAATGTGTTGAAGGCCTAGATATACTACAGCAGTAAGATGTTACAATTTTACAAAAATCAAGACATCAGTACCCATTTTCTCATTTATATGCAAAATGACAGCTAAATTAATTAATAATTGCTATTCTGCATAATTTGTAAGATATTAAATTTTAAAAAATAATATGCTCCTTGTTCTGTAAGTTCTATGTCAGGAAGATAAGCCAGAAACTTAAGAAAAGCAGATAAAGAGCAAAGATTGTGGGGAAAGAATTTTTCTAAGCTTTCTAAATTTGTGAAAATTATGTAAGAAGGTGATTGGTCAACTGTTTGTCCTATCCTTAAGGATCTTTTAGTGTTTACGTCTAAAGAATCTCCTCTGCTACCATTTTAAGGTTGTAGGAGGATAGTCAAAAACTGTTAGGAGTCCCCTTTGAAAACACATTTGTGATGTCTAGACTTAAAAGTAGTGAATTGTACAAGAGACTTGAAAGCTAAAATGCCTCCCTTGTGGTAAATGGCTACTTTGTACTTCAGAGGATTTATATGTAAAGTTTTGTTTTTGTACAGTAATACAGTATAGGAATAAAAGACTGCTGGAAAAATCTGATACGATTTATAAAATAAGTTACCTGGTAGCTCCAAGGAGTTTCCTGTAAGCTTCCTGGCCTTTGATTATGTATTTGCTCCATTATCCAATCAGAAAGGATACTGATTTCCCAACAGGCTGTAGTAGACGAGAAGTTTTTGTTTCAGATTCTCTAAATATATGGAGTTCTGTCCAAAGGGTTGCCTCTGAGATCACCACCAGCCCACATATTCTTACTTTCAAGTCTTCCAAATTCTGCAGCTGCAGGGCTACTTTGAGGAAATTCCTGTTTCTTCCAGCTGCTGAGAAGGAAGTTTTAAAGTGCCACGTGGCCTTGAGACATCCGTTCTCCCTGGCTGACAGGTCTATTCTGCAAGTTAGCAATGAAAAAGCCAATAGATGGCTTTTCAATAGCCAAAATAAAGAACAACAAAAAAGTTATTCCTGCAAATCCGAAGTCATTAATGTTAGCTGGGGCGTGTGAACTAACTCCACAAATTATAGCGCCAATAGATGGCAAAGGTACTCCTTTGTCCAACAGTTTCAGCATTTTTATATGCTTAGTAAATACAGAGCTAGAGTTCTAATTCGCCTGCTACTTTGGGTCACAGCCAAATTCAGCAGTGTTGAGTATTTTAGGCAAGAATGATTCTACCCGATCTGTGGAGCTCATTTATTCCATTTTCCTTTCTGAGGCAGATCCCAAACATGTTCAGATGGGTGTGGAGAGGGAGCAGGTGTACTTGCTTTTTAACTTGCAAGAGACTGGCCATTGTGTTTAGGGGACTAACTTGTCCTGCAAGGAAGACTGTATGACTCAGGTAGCTTTTAGGTAACGTGACTTTTAGTTTGACAATAGCACTTTTTAAGCTGTCTTTGTAAAAGGAAAATTAATTCAAATGTCCTTAGATTTGGGGAAATTGCGTTGTTGATCAAGTTCATTTAGATCTTTATTACAAGTCCCTAAACTAAATAACTAGGAGTGATAACACTAGCTGGTAGAATATATGATTTGTTCAAAGTTACTCCAAGTTATTTTAACATAATAGTGAAAATATTCAGGTTCTAAATCCTTATACAGCATCAATGTTTACAGTATGCTTTTTAACCAGTAAAATATTTAAATGATTTTTCAGCATTTCCCCACATATCTTAGATACAAGGTCTATTTTGGGGCTTTTAATGTTTCATTTTGTTTCATTTCTATAGTAATTTCTCACAATCACCAATAATTTTCTTATCTTAGTTTATTATATATGTGCTGCCATGCAGAAGCAAGCTTTAGATCATACCTGACCAATGAGTATTTTGTATGAATATTTTACAGCAAGGAAAATGAACAAAAAAAAAAAATGATATTCTTTTTTTTCCTTTTTTTCTTGAGACAGAGTTTCACTCTTGTTGCCCAGGTTAGAGTGCAATGGCACGATCTCAGCTCACCGCAACCTCCACCTCCTGGGTTCAAGTGATTCTCCTGCCTCAGCCTCCCGAGTAGCTGGGATTACAGGCATGTGCCACCACAGCCAGCTAATTTTTGTATTTTTAGTAGAGACGGGGCTTCTCCATGTTGGTCAGGCTGGTCTTGAACTCCCAACCTCAGATGATCTGCCCATCTCGGCCTCCCAAAGTGCTGGGATTATAGGCGTGAGCCACCATGCCCAGCCTTAAAAAAATGATATTCTTAAGACTATACTGTAAGTTGTTCCCCCAAACAAAAGACATAATTGAATTTAACCTTTATCACTAAATATTTGGTGGATATGAATACAGAATCAAGAATTGCCATATTAGAATGGATTTATGTATTTTGATAATAATGTCTGTTGAAAATCTTATTATGCTGTGAACAGGATTTTATTTGTTACTCAGAAATTGAGTAACACGTTTTTCAAGAACAATTTTATATCTGAGAGAACATATCATTTTATATGTGATTGTTTTAAGTAAACATTTACAGTGTCCCCAGAGAAACAAAAGTAATCAAAGCAATATTTTTCTGCTGTTCAAATTGTGGATGCATTTACGCTCAGACCAAATGTGTCTTAGAACTGACTAAAATTACTATTGTTTAGGGGAAATACAAATATTCCCTTAATGTTGTTTTTCAAAATATTTTATTTGTCCATTTTCTAGATATCCAGTAATAAACACAAAAGACATTGTGGCTTTAATTTTTTCACCCTTGTTTACATAAAGGAAAATAGTTTTATCTCCTCCTTCCTTTCCTTGGGATATTCAGAAATCCAGGAATTAATACAATTTGACTAAGTTATTTTTTTTCCTGATGATGTATGTCTTTAGCTGAAACAACTTTCTAGGATAATGTGTATCTGTCCCAACATTATGATTTCTTAATTTTGGATATGTGTACCATTCAAAAAGGGGAAAGGATTATTGTATGTCTATGCCATGGATGGTAAGACCAATGCAGGTTTTCAGAATTCACCGAAAGGAGGCTATGATAGTGTCTAGTGAAGGAGTACTGGGCTGGAGATTGGCATGAAGACAGGTCATATAAACCTCCTAAGGAGCAATAATGACTGACAACCCACCTCACAGTTTTGCCAAGAGGATCAAAGAGATTATGAATGTAAGTTTCAGTTAACTGTATAATCATTAAGAGTTTGGCCTTTGGAATAGGAAGTAGATTCAAGACCCAGTCATGCAACTTATTACCTGTATAATCTTAGTAACTGAAACTCTCTGAGCCTCTGTTTACTTATTAAATAATCCATACCAGATATTTATATAGTGCCTGACTAAAAATCGTAGGAATCATTGTTGAAAATAGTGTGATTCTATATCTTACTAATATAAAGTAAGTATATAGTTACAAGTTTTTACAACTTTCAAATCACAGAACCAGAAACTATGTATGTTTAAAGTATAGCAGTCATATTCTATTGAATGCAAATACATAAATTATCCACTTTTGGAGTGGCTCATTATTTTTGTTCAGAAGATATTATTAAGCATATTAATTAAGGTGTTTTTTGTTTTTTTTTTTTTACACTTGAGGTCTTTCAGTGAAGACATTTAAAATAATGCTATTAGTTCTATTGACTTACCTTTCTTATATCAATTCTGGCATGTATCTGTATCATAAAACAGTGAGAAAAAAGAACTGTCAAGTTTTATATCAAGCTATTTTTTTTTCCTTTGAATGGGAAAGAGGACTGGTGTAGGGAAAGGAAAAAAGAGCAGGAAGGAGGCTGTAAAGAAAGTCATTATATAATATTTAAATTAGGTAGATTGCACAAGATTGCATAAAACCCCATGCCATCCTTCTGCTTTGGCCCAAATGATTTAAGAGCTAATGAGCTCATGCTCCTGTGTCTTCGACTCTGCGTTACCATTTTATCAAAATGAAATATGAAGTTTTTTTGCATCTGGCTTCTCTTTTGAAGTGATTCTAACTGCGGAGGGATTGCTAACTGAACTGAACGCTTCAAGAAAGCCAATTTATTCAGCTGGTTGCAAAGCCTTTGACCTTAATGGTGGGACTTGGCAAATCAATGCATACACGTATGTTTAGTGTTCTGTCAAGAATTGCGAAAATGCTCTGTAAGCCATAGATCCTTCTGCAAAATACTAGTTTGTAGTTTAGTTTAAACATTAGTCTTTTTTCAGAGGCCAATGAGGCTAGTTAATTAAGCCTGAGGGGTTATGAACTGTTGGCAGTTAATAAGTCATAAAATTCCTCCATAAAACAGGATGCAAGATTCCATCACTGAAGCAAAGAGTACAAAGAGCCGGTGTATAAATATCTAATTGTACCAAAGGACTGGGCTTTCTCAATGACTGCTCATCTGGAGTCTCCAGGGCATGCTCGCTGTGGTTTCCTGATTTTTAGAAGCCAGTTTAAAAAATGAGTGCATTAAAGGGTAATTTGCCTGAAAGTTCAGGAAGTAAAGGGGGTGGAGTGGAAGCAGGCTGAATGGGAGAAAGAAAAGAGGAACGTAGTGAGAAGACAGAAAATGAAAAAGAAAGTGGAGTGGAAAGACAGAGAACTAGAAATCAGAAAGGTTGTCTCCACACAAAGTTAGACATGACTGTATTTGTCGTCTGTTTTCATTTCCCCGTAGGATGTTCACCATGGAAACGGTACGCAGCAGGCCTTTTATGCTGACCCCAGCATCCTGTACATTTCACTCCATCGCTATGATGAAGGGAACTTTTTCCCTGGCAGTGGAGCCCCAAATGAGGTTCGGTTTATTTCTTTAGAGCCCCACTTTTATTTGTATCTTTCAGGTAATTGCATTGCATGATTACCCCTAATTTTCTTGTCCTTTGCTGGTGTTTTAAATTACACGAGATTACTGAATTGTCCCATGGGACCAAAAACCAGTGCAGAACAAGTGCATAACCCAGAGCACTGTTCATCAGGGAAGGCTGGGCTGATTTGATGTGTTGTTTGATGTTTATTTCAAGAGCTCTCCTGTCCTTGTTTTCCTCTCTTCTTGCTTTCTTCCATTTGCCCTCTTCTCTGCCCACCATGGTGTGTCTTTCTCTTCCCAGGTTGGAACAGGCCTTGGAGAAGGGTACAATATAAATATTGCCTGGACAGGTGGCCTTGATCCTCCCATGGGAGATGTTGAGTACCTTGAAGCATTCAGGTTGGTACTTCTTTCTCTCTGAAAGTGGCAAACTGGAAAATAAATGTCCATTGAAATAACACCAAATATGAAAGAGAAATGTAAATGTAATTAAGGTAAATTATCGCTCAAAGTCACATAGGAATATGTGTAAGAAGAAAAGATATATCAAGACCTGGTTTTAATTATACAGGTATATTGACCAATGGCCCATTTTCTCCCTTCCCTCCCAAATAAGGAGAAAAAAAAATTTATTTTTAAATAGTTCTGTCTGGAAAATTCTGCCTATTATAACATATGATGTGATTTTTACAGTAGACATTAGCATATTCATTGCCCTGAGAAGTTCTTCATTACCTATTTAATTTTGTTGACCAAGCATTTCTCAAGCTTCATTGGACTACAGAATTCCTTTTTTACATAGCACCATTTAGCATTCCTAGTTCTGGGGAGCTCACTCATTTTGATGACATTGGCCAAGGCAATCTCATTTGATGGTAGGGTAAATGACTTTTGTATAGTTTTCCTTTCACATGAAAACATTAACTAATTAATTAGTTGTTTCCAGTTTCTCTGGAACAAAATCTACAAAATGTAACATTAATTACAATGTATTCACATAGCGTTGTGCTTTTGTCTAAGCAAATAACTAAATATTTATATAAATAAGAAAAAACAAATTAAAAGCTTTTCTTTGAGAGAATTTTAAAAATGAGCATTTCTTCTCTAGAATTTAGAAAACACTAGTTTGTAGTTTAAACATTAGTCTTTTTTCAGATGTCAATGAGTCTAGTTAATTAAACCTGAGGAGCCTCCCTTGCAAGATTTTTGGAAGAGGTTTTAGCCTACTGGTAATGCATAATTTCTTGAATTTTCTATTTAGTTGAAAGCAAAACAACCACATAAAAAAATCTTACAGGTGTTCATAGTTTTGAAATTTGCCATTTACAAGTTCCCATGAAGAAAATCCTATTGATACCCTACATTTGAAACTTATGGAAATAATGGGGAAATTTTTTAATTAATGAAATTTTGGTGGGTTTCTGTTGTCCTGTGTGTCACGCATACTTCGTTGTCTCATTTGAAGTTCATTTCTCATGAGAAAGCAGGTCCAGGAAAAACGATAGAAAAATAGCTATTTAAAAAATACATTTAAAATAAATATGTTTGGCTTGGCATTCAAGATACAAAGGAAAATTCTACCCACGTTCTGGAATGTGTATTTTGGGAAAAAATATACACAAAGATATCCACAATGTAGAAAAAATGACTGAAATAAATTTTTCTACTGTAAACTTGGGTTGATTGTGAAGACATTTTGCTTTAATTATGAGCAAAATAAAAAATTATGCGAAAAAAATAGAGGTTTTAATGTTATGAATTCTCTTTTTCAACATCACACATACTATTACATTTGCAAATTTCACAAACATTATTAATATCTTGTAGGAACTTTAACAGGATAATAGATTTCATTTTTATATCACATATGAATTTATTTGTCAGCCTCCCAAGTTAACCTGGTAACTTGCATGATATACATTAAATTCACATTAAATACACATTAAATTCTCAACTTTACTATTTCATACAATCATATCCATTATCTTTGATGCAGAATTCATAGATTTTTAAAATCATTGTAGTTCTATCTGGGGTACTATAGCTTTACATAAAAATAAATCATGTATGCACAGCAATGAAAGGCAACTTCTATTTTGTGCCTTTGTTTTCCCATCACAAAGTGAGTGGTGGATGAGATTTTTTTCTAAAGAATCTCTTTGAACACAACCATTTCATCAAATAATGTAAAAGCAGATATTAAGTGCACATATTGTTTTGTGGTTTAAATGGTAAATGAATGACATACTCCTGAATGGGGTTGACTATTCTCAAGAATGGCACCTTTTCTTTGCCTGGAAGGTCGACACTTTATATTAGCAAAACTTTTCAAAGCTTCCCAGTGTATCTCCATTACTTGAGTTTAATTAGAGAAGTGGCATTATTTAGCTAGGCTGCAGAAATGTAAATTTCTGGCTTTCAATGTCAATATTTATTTAAGAACCAGATTTAATTTATAAGAATCCTGCCACTTTTGAACTATGGCATGTCTGCTATTCATCATTTATGACTGGAAGTACTTGTGAATTTGTTATGGCTAAGTAAGCCATTCATTTCAAAAACTGGCATTGAACACATATTATATGCCAGGCACTGTGGTAAGCACTTGGAATTCAGAGCTGTTGTTACTTTCAGGGATCATAATGTAAGTCATACTTATTGTTCTAGAGAACAGAAGCGCTCAGAGTAGATAAAATGATTAACTCGTCCTGAATGGTTTCAGGAAAGGTTTCATCAAGCATTGTTCAACCTTTGCTTCTAAAGATAAGTGGGAACGTTCAAGGGGAAAAAAGGAATTCGAGTCACGGGGTATTCATACTGACTGGGCAGAGAGAATGAACTGAGAAATGCATGGAGCCGTGAAATGATCTTTCTCTATTGGCTCAAGGACATCAGGGAGGGATTGGTAGAAAGAAAATGAATCATATTTTGTAAACTCTTATGCAAGCAAAGGATAGCCCAATAATACATGTATATACTCCTTTGTCAATTTGGGCTTAGTCCGATGACTGCCAAATAATTTTTAGTGTAGTATTATTTTCTAAGCTTACCCTTAATACACTTCTTGTTTCCTAGTATTGAACCAGATCTTTCTGGCATCTGTGTGTGGGTGCAGGAAATGGAGGTGGGGGAAAGAGTAAATGGTGCTTTTTCTTTTCTCTTAGTTTTTAATTGTTTCTGGACTCTTATAAGTATCTTTTGAAAAGCCTCTCTCCCTGTGAAGCTACATTTATAGTGGGATATAAGATGGCTGCTTATTTTACTATCTAGAATTTGTCACATATATTGCCTTCATGGTTTCTATTATGTACTTTTTCTATGGCAAAAAAAAATCATAGACAAACCAAAGATTTCATGTTTAAAGCTTTAAATATAATTTAAAAATATAATAGAATAACTAAATTATTTCAAATGACTAGTTATTTCTTCCAAGCAGTTATCATTCATCTCTGAAATAATTGAAGGGTATATTTAAGATTCTTCACGGGAATTCTTAAAATATTCAGTATCAAATATGTTTTATGTTCAGCTAAGATATATTTCAAAGGTTACTATTGTATAAAATAATTATGGCTATTTTTATTGAGATCTTACATGCTAGGTCCTAGATTAGAAACTTTATAGACGTTATGGCTAATTCTTAAGTGCTTTATATAAGTCACAGAACTACTAATTGGAAGGGCAATAATTTGAAGTTGGTTTGTGACTCTACAATCTATGCTCCTTTTGTCACACCACGTTGCTACTCTCTTCTGTTTATGACTTAAAATACTCAGGAGTAATAAAGCACAGTGACTTTTTACCAAAGTGTAAGACCTTCATACTCACATAGCCTCCCAACCTAAGGCACAAATGCCCAGTGAACAACATGGCAGATAAGAGCTATTCAATAATATTTGATTGAATGAGTCAATGAATAAATGAATGAATCAGAGAAGAAAGAGGGAATAATGTTGGCGATAGGAGCATTGTCAAGCTCAGGTATTAAGTGAACCTAGCAAAAGTCTGAGGGAACTACCTTGGCTTCTCATAAACTTTGCTTTACAAAGAACTCTGAACATCTATTCATTTTGTTGTAAGAATGTCAGACTTCTCTTTATTGAACAAATCTTTTGCTGTATGCCTGCTAAGCAATCTCTGTTTTAATCATTTCAAAAGGATATTCCAGTGGTTTTATACTCTCTACAGTCCATTGATGAGGATTGGGCACATTATTTTTTGTAAAGACTAATTCTTTTAAGAGTCCTGCAAATGTTAAAGTGACTATCTCAGACCATTTAAGTGGTTTGTTTATACTGGGCAAGAGACAGTTCTGAATCCCATGCTTCTGTTTAAATCTGAGAAAAATATCTTCAAATGTTTAAAAAATAAGTAGCAATTTCCAATGAGTAAGATTTTAGTAGTCCTTGAAATGATGCCTATTTTATTAAATAAATAAACAAATCCGTGAATGGAGGACAATTCCTGTGTAGCCCCTTTTAATTTCAAGAAAAGAAATATAAGCTCCTTAAATTTAGCAGGTTTTAATGAAATAATTAAAGTGACCCATTTGGCATATACTGAGGAGTAGCTAAAGAAAGGTCATAGAGCTGTTGATCTGGGTTCTTTAGATGCAAACAAGTTCTGATTTTAAATATCATCTTTTCGTGTCACTATGTTGTAGTACGTATTAATTAATTGATTAACCTTAGTTAATATTTGTTATTGATGCATATTTTCAATAGACAATGGATCTGTACATATTAGCTCTTCAGGGAAGTTCATTTCAGGGGAAAACTCTGACCTAGAAGGACTCTCTTGCACTGAGGTTGTCAGTGTGCCAACTGAAAAGTGGATTTTAAGAGAGTTGTCTAGTAGAGGTAATACAGATGTAGTCAAAATTTTTGATGTTATTATTGAAAACTACGTATTTTTAAGTAATTGACTTATGTAGGTAGTATCTGTATTTAATCAAAATGCTATGTGCTTCCAAATTTAGGCTTTGCTAAAATATTTTTGGACATATAATTAACTGGAATTTTTAGAAGCTTAATGTTCTTGCTACATAGTTAAAGCCATTGAACCATTTGAGCATATACAAGCAGCCCAGTGTCTATCTTTCTCCTGTCTTGAGTTCATATCTGTTTGCTTTAATGACATAAGCAAATTAAAATCCATTAACACAAAGTTGTGATTGGAAATCTTTCCAGATATCCTGTCTATTCTTGGTTCACCAGTCAAAGTGGCAATTCTGTTCCTGATGCTGAGTCTTCAATATAGGAATGATGGCTTCCTGGGATTCCTCCCCTGCTTGTGACAAAAATGTAAAAGGGGCATTTAACTCAAGTGCAGAACCAGATAAAACCTTTTATTGTCATATCCACAGAGCAAGTGCTCTTTGGACAAGTCAATAATAGTCA